CCCCCCCACTGCCAGCTTGGTTGCCCCTCACAGCCTCCCTGCCAGGTTGGTTACCTCCAACTGCGCCCCCTGCTGGCCTGGTCACTGCTCACTGCCCCCCACTGCCAGCCTGGTCACTCCATGCAGCCTGCTGTTCAGTCGTTTGGTTATCCCTCACTAACCCCCCTGCTGGCCAGGTCGCCCCACACAGTCTGCTGTTTGGTCATTACTATTACTGTGATGGCATCCCAGACAATTTGCATATCCCTCTATTATTAGTATAGATGGGGTAATGTTGGTTAATAAAATTATTTAAGCTTCAGGGATACTATTCTATAATCCATCATCTGTATAATATATTGTGTACCTTTTAATATCCTAAACCTTTTCTCTCTACTTGTGAAGAGATGATTACAGCTTCCAAGGAATATTGTAGTAATTTACAAGTACCCATGGAACCTCTGCATCAACACAAAAAAACAATAACATTTATAACATTGATCACTGATATGATAGGAACTGAATTGAGGAATAAAAGTTCCAATTCTTAACCAACACTTAGGATTTGAATATTGATTACTTGGGTATGCAGGCATGTGTACTTATAGATTATACTACCTTTTAGATCAGAAATTTGTAAACTATGGTCTGTAGGCCAAATCAAGTCCATCCACCAGGGGTCAGCTCCTGCATTGAGCATCTGCTCCCTCGTGGTCAGTGCGCGTCATAGTGACCAGTCAACCAGTTGTTCGGTCATTCAGTCATTCGGTCGCTGAGGCTTTTATATATATACTAGGGGCCCAGTGCACGAAATTCATGCAGGGGGGTGTCCCTAAACCCGGCCTGCACCTTCTCCAATCTGGGATCCCTTGGGGGATGTCCAGCAGTCGGACATCCTTCTCACAATCTGGGACTGTTAGCTCCTAATCACTTGCCTGCCTGCCTGCCTGATTGCCCCTAACTGCTCCCCTGCTGACCTGATCACCCCCACTGCCCTCCCCTGCCAGCCCAATGGCCCCCAACTGCCCTCCCCTGCTGGCTCAATCACCCCCAACTGCCCTCCCCTACTGGCCATCTTGTGGTGGCCATCTTGTGGCAGCCATCTTGTGACGACTTCACGTGACGCCACCTAGGCTTTTATTATACAGGACTAGTGGCCTGGTGCAAGAAATTCTTGCACTCAGTGCGGGGGGGCGGGGGGGAGAGTCCCTCAGCCCAGCCTGCGTCCTATTGCAGTCCGGGAGTCCTCAGGGGATGTCTAACTGATGGCGGGGGAGCAGGTCTAAGCCAGCAGTTGGACATCCTTAGCACTGCCGCAGAAGCGGGAGAGGCTCCCACCACTGCCCCTGCACTCGCCAGTCATGAGCCTGGCTCAGGGTTTTTGGCTGAGCAGCGCTTCCCCTGTGGGAAAACACTGACCACCAGGGGGCAGCTCCTGCATTGTCTTCCCCTTGGTGGTCAGTGCCCATCATAGCGACCAGTCGTTTTGCCATTTCTATTTGCATCATATTACCCTTTTATTATATAGGATAAATTGTAGAAGATGCTAATACCTATTTTATAAAGTTATTTTTAGAAATAGCTGAGAGCATCAAGAAGGGTTCAGGAATCTGGAGAAGGGGCTGTGCGTAGATGACATAGGAATCTGGGGACTAATAAAGAGTCTGGAGATGAAATATAATTTTGAAAGGCATTGGGGGTCAGAGGAGCTTAGCTAAAGGACCTAAGTTCTAAGGTCTTAAGTCTAAGGTCTTAGATCTCTTCGTCCTCCCCAGGACCCCATGCTTTTTATTAACACAACTTGTCCTGAGGCGAGGCAGAGATATACACTTCAAAGGGTCAGGGATTCATACAGAGTCCATTGTCAGAATGGGGGAATTAGCTTACGGCTGTTCAGATGTTTGGCCAGTAGGAGGCAATAACATGTAGATTAAGATGCCTTTTAGCTGTCTGGCAGCCACAATCAATAATCCCTTTTCAGGTTTGGGGAAATGCCTTTAGCCATTCCCAGCAGGCGTGTGTGACTCAACCCTGTTGAGTCCCCAAGTCTCATCAACCTTTTGATGAAACTCTTGAAATTATGACATGCTGGAATTGGTCTCCCGCAATAGTGATTTGGGTTAAGTATTTAACTTATCTGAGCCTCAAAGGTTCCACTATCATTAAAGAATATTAAAGAAGTTACCCCTTTGATGTTCTCCTAGTCGATTTTTAGGCCAAAGAAAAGGGTATCATTTCATATTCTCTGTTGTCATTTTTCCTCCTTCCTCTCTGCCCTCTGCTGCCTTCCTCTTCCTCTCCTTCTTCTTCTTTATCTTCTCCTTCGCCTCCATTTTCTTATTATTTTCCTTCTCCTTCTCCTCTGGAAATCATGGCTAGTGACTGGATGTGTAAGGAGAGGGATGCGTGTCTGGCAACAGGTACTACAGTCGGAGACTTTGGAAGAGGGACAGATCCCATAGGCACAGGTCCTGAGGCTGGCACAAGCCCACAGCAACAGCATAGCTTTGGTTTTCAAACAATTTATGGTTTAATTGAGCAAACAAGATACATGTGAAACAATTGCAGAGTTGATTAAACATCCAAACAATTCAGATAATTCATGAATTCTTGCATAACCTGGGACTGAATGGAAGCCCTCAGTCTCACAGTGTGTTCAAATACTGCTGAAGCCAATACAGACATCTCCGCTTTTGTCCATGCTTTTCATAGTCAGCCTCTCAAAAAAACCTCCTATGCGCCCTAGCCAGTTGGCTCAGTGGTTAGAGTGTTGGCCCGGGACTGAAGGGTCATAGGTTTGATTCCAGTCAAGGGCACATACCTTGCTTGTAGGCTCCTTCCCTGGCCCTAGTTCAGGGTGAATGTGGGAGGCAACCAATCAATGTGTCTCTCTCACATCGATGTTTCTTTCTCTCTTTATCTCTCACCTTCCCTTCCATTCTCTCTGAAAAAATCAATGGAAAAAATATCTTCAGATGAGAATTAACAAAATATAAAAACTAGTAGAACCCATAAAAATTAGAGGTTTGTACTAGCCTGAGATTTAAATAAATGGTGTTATAACAAAAAAACCCCAAGACCTCCTATGCACCGCACTTCATAGGTGCCACCTTCTCTGCTCTGGGCCCTGGGGCCCATATCAGGAAGATGCACTATCCCCTCCCTGCTCTTTTTTTGCCTGTTAACATCAGGAAATTCACCTGTTATTCTCATTCTCCTCCCCTGCTTAGGTTAAATGAGACCAAATTTGGTTGTTCTCTTTTGGTCACCAGGAATTTTGACTTACTTAGCTCCTCTCTTGTAGAATTAACATCTTGCAAAGTCAACCTTGTCTTCCTCATGCTTCCTAAGAAGTGTAGGCCCATCATGAATATGCCATTTTCCTCCCTTTTGCTCCCCCATCCAAAATATCCCACTCTGAAGGCCTTTTCCCAAATCTAGTTTTTCCTGGAATCAATATATACTTACCTCTTTGCCCTGAAAAATTCAGAAGAAAAATTTTGCTATGGGATTAACCAGAAAGTAGCCTCAATAGCTTTTGCTCAGTTGACACTTAGCCTCACTGCCTCCTCCCTGCCCCTGCAGACCTCTGCTAACTCTCTTCCAAAGACAATAACTGCAGGAAAAAAAACAGCTGACTGCACAATAGGCCTACAGGTTCCCATTGTGTAATGAGCCTAGGATATCGAGATATTCCCTTTACAAAGAAAAGAACATGGACTTTGGAATTGGGCAGACTTGGGTTTACATCCTGGTTACCAACTAGCATGCATTTGTGCTATTAAATCTTGCTAAACTTCAAAAGACTTATCTGTAAAATAGTGTCAATGGGTAGTTATATGAAACAGGGCATATAAAATATGACCTGAATTATTTGGTAACCACTGACTTCCTTTCCTCTCCTTGGATTTTAGCTGCCAGATAATACTCAGAAGGGAGATTAGGCAGTTTTGTATGGCCAATGACAGACATTTCCTATTCCTGTCTTTGTAAACACCATCTTACTGCAACCATCCCATTTCCATCATTGCCAAAAAAAGTTGTTCCACCCTCATAGCTGTGAAGGACATCTCTTTCTCTTATTATAAAAAAGTTCTGCCTGAGCTCCATCTGACTATCCTCTTCTACATCTCCCTACTCCAAGATACTTTGTCTCCTTGTATCATTTTTTTAAAAAAATTAACTTCTAGCATTCTCCCTAACTTTCTCAGAGTAAATTATAATGAACATTGGGAATAGGACCTTTACACTTCAGAAGGGCATGGGAACTACAGGCCAGCTCCCAGAGTGGAATGAAAGTCTAGGTCCAGGAAACCCCTTATCCATCCCCATCTCTTTTGCTACAGGGCACAGAAACCGCCAAATTCAAAATATGTCTTGAGTCTACATAAGCATATACCTCGCTTCCTATAGCTCTGTGAGGTCATCATTGAAGTAGTGAAGTATTGCAGGTGTATGTAATGTACCCTCCATGGTCTAATTCATCCTAGATCCCATTCTCTTCCAGGTTATATCCATGTTCAGGTTCTTCCCTTCATATTTCCATGTGTAGCTGGCAGCATGTGCATCATAGGGGAGATAGTGATGTAGGATTTCCCACGTTGATTCCAGGGCTCCCACCTCCAGTATGTGCTACTGCGACGTGAGCGTTTTAATGATATGGATGTTCTGGTCTTGGCGGACAGCCTCCCCGCTTCATAACGCGACCCCAGCTACCAGGGCTTTCCGAAATTATAGGCTCAGTTGGATCTGGGCAGCTGAAGTGGGATGGGCAGAAAGCTGCCCCCGCCCCGGGGTGGGGGTGGGAGGGCGTGAGGTATCTTTGGGAACCGACTAGCGGATCTAAGTGCTTGTGGATGTTTGGATTAAACCAGTGACTGATTTATTGACCCGTAACTTCCACGATGAGTTTCAGCAGTAGGTCTCCTTTGTACTCTTGTGCCAACGCGTTAGTATTCCAGGTAAGACACCCAGAGATCTTTCCAGTGGTGGTGTTGGGCTACATCAACTGGCGTGAAATACCAACGCTGGAAATACTCAAAGTCTGGCCCAGTGCTGCAAGGCTCTTGCTCTATTGGTTGCCGGCTCCGTTAAGTGGCTTTCTCACTTCTCAGCCTGCACTCAGTACCACTTCCTCTTTTGTACCAGAGCTACAGTGAGAGCATTTATTCGCTGACATGGAATCTATTGTCCTGTTCCAGCCACCGTCCACAGAGATCAACCTGTGTGGGCGAAGAGGGGCGTGGGCTCATGGGAAATGTAGTCTGATTCCCGCTTTCAATGAGCTCGGTGCTTCCTCAGGAGTTCTGAGGTGAAAGCCAGCACACTGTTTTAATTTTGGGTGGTCTGGGCTACAGGCGACATTTAGGACAGACTTTCTCGCCAGGTAGGAAAACGAGTGGGAGTTCTATGATTATGAAAAAATATATTGTTCTCATGGTTTTAAAACAGAAAGAAAGGAATAAAATGCTTCCCTTTCTTTCTATTTTATATCATGGACTGCTTTCATTTTAGAAGGGAGAATTTGATCAACATCCAAGAGGTGCTGCAGAATTCCATAATCACCAACAGACCCTCACTACCAAATCCAATGAAAAAGACTATACACGAGCTACTTGTTACCATTCAATTTGTTACAGCACAGAGGGAAGGAAGAGAAAATAAACTTTAGAATAAGAAAAATATACCATATCATTTTAATACAGTGAAAGGATTTTGAGTATTGGCTATTTGAACACCTTGTTGTCATGATTACATCTCTAGATTGGAATGTACAGCTGTTCCAGACAATCACAATAACACCCATTAACATTAAGTAGATCCACTTCTCTGTTAGCAAAGTTCTTGAATCAGAGTCAGCATCGCCAGAATTGTGAGGGAAACAAGCTCAGGTGTGATTATATACATTCACTTAAAAATAAGAAATCCTTTGATAAAGGCCCAAATTTAGAGATTAAAAGGGAATTCCCACTCAAACTGGCAGTAAAGGGATGGAAAAAGATATTTCATGGAAATTTAAAAAACCAATGCTTATACCAGTCATTTCCCAGCATAACTATGTTCAGAACATTACTGTATATTGCTAGAGATTGAGCAAAAGCCAAAGTTCTAATGAAAATAATGTTTTAAAACTACTAGGCCTGGACTCCTTTCCCCACCTGCTGGTTTTTCTCTCTCTCGTAGCAATTTTACATGAAGACAGCATGAAAGCAAAGGTCTGCTTTTGTTCAATAACTGCTTATTCTGGAATAGTTCAGGGGGTCATCTCTTGGATGTTGAAGGTGCCAAATACACTTGATGTCTGACTGTCCACCTCTGTGCTGGGGATGCTATAATAATAGGTTCGCTTGGCCTGGGGGTATGAAAATGAAGAGCCTTTTTCTCATCTTAATGTAGTCTCTGAACCAGAATGGTTCCTATTCTATCACCTCGACAACATGGAGGGTATGGATGTATGTTTGACCACCACTTTCCCTTAAAGTCTCGTGAGTAGACTCTTAGAAAGTTTCCCTTAGAGTCCATGGCTGTTGAATCCTTGGCATGAAAAGAACATGGCCTTGCCTGGAAATAGTTTTTTTCACTGGAGACTCACCCTTCCTCATCTTGTACATGTATGTGCTCCCAATAGAGCAGGGTGGGAGTGAAGATGTTGGGCGGAGGAGATGTGGAAGTAAAATTTGTGGTCAGTGTAAACCCGCCATGGTTACTTGGAGAACTTTGTGATGTGCATAGCCTATTGATCACTCAAGGCTATGTATGACATGAAAGGAGGTCTCCTTCTGCTTGAATGGCATTCCCTTATCTATTTCCATGCATACTTTACTTATCCCACTTGTCACTCACAACCAATATATTGTTAACTTGTGTTTTTATTGAAAATGCAATGTACCTTACAATAACAATAGGCACTGAAATTTTCATTTACTAAGTTCATTTAACAAATTACTTTTGATGTGCTATGCAGTTTATATAAGGCAGAAAAATACTTTGGAAAACTGTCTTGAACATCATACTTCAGTGAATGGGACCTGGGAAATTACCACCAACAACAGGGGCCCATGCCACGACTGGAGCAAGAGCAATGGGATACACAGGTTGTGGGCGTAGCACAGGCATTATGGGTGCCCCATGTGGCAGGGGTGGCCCATGTGGCATGGGTGGACCACGTGGAAGGGGTGGCCCAGGTGGCAGGGGTGGCCCTGGTTGCATAATTGGATACGGCACCAGAGGAACACATCTCAATGCAGGTTCTAAAACAGGGATGGCCGCATAGGGCCCATTATAGATTGCCCCCCCAGGGGGGCCCATGGCGTTGCGGACCATATTTCTGTACATCATTTCCCTGTATTCTCTTCTCCACTTGGTCCTTCGATTCTGAAACCAAACCTTGAGTGAGAGGGAAAAAAGGGATTGATTTAGTATATTGAACAGTTAATATCATAATAGAAAACACACAACATGCAACTCTGCCATTGAGATTTTACACTGCATCAGGAGAAGCTATTTCTTTATTGCTAAAATAGCTCAGGGAAGTAAACAGCACACCTTCTCCTTCAGCTAACTCTTAATGAGCCTTGCCTGGTCCAAAGCTTGGCACATTGCTTTTCTCTCTTCTCTTTAGTATTTGTCTCTCTTCTTTTTAGTATTCCTTAGTGGTTTTTTTCTAGGTCTTTGATACAGATATAACTGATGAACTGCACCAGGGTTCTGCTGTTAATGCTGTTTGGCAATAGGGTAAAGAAACATTGGACCATCAGCTGTCCAGCTGCCTCCACCCTCTTCTCACCAGGAATAGTGTCACCCTGGTTGTAGAGGAGGGTGAAGCTCAGCATGACATAAAGGTGTCATGCTGATTAAAGTCATACTTAGGGAAACCATTTCCTATTCAAAAAGTCCATCTTCAGTCTGGGCTGCTTTTCTGTACATCACTGACAGATGTGCAGCATGTTTCCATCACTGCACTCATGCATGCACATGCTACTAAGCCATCTGAACACACACACACACACACACACACACACACACACACACACACACATTGCCCTTTTAGACAGAAGTGTTCTTTCAATGATGTTTAAGGGATCATTCTTTCTCTGACACCTCTTAAGAATTAAATAGGTGGTATGTAAGGGAGGCTTGATCATGGGGTCCTAGGGACTTTGTGGCTTGTCTTGCTGGGACTTGAGAGTTGCTGAACACTGCCTTGATATTTTAGCCATTAGTGTTAAGGAAAAGTTTAGCCTAACTGAATCCAAATTCACTAAACTCAAAATCCCTTTCCCCAGATAAGAGATTGGGCATCTCATTGTCACCACTGCCAATTTTGTATACTACAATCTGCCCTACCCTCCAGTCACTCCTAGGCTCATGCCAAGGTCAGCTCATTTGGCTCTAGGTATAGTTTCAGGGTCTTAGATGGGCAGGGGCTGCTGTTACCCAGACTGGTGCGGTGCCCTAGGCTCTACCAGTTCCATTTCTTAACCAGGGCATCCCGATTCCCATCATTCCAATTATGCATTTTAGGAAGATATTCATCAACAATGTGGGGTTAGAGGTCACAAGAGGCTCCTCCCTAAGTGCTAGCCAACTATTAAGAAATAAACAGACCAAAAGCTGACAATTAGACTTTACTGTCCTTTTAGCATACTAGTTGATGGAGTTTCCAGCGCATTTAATTTTTTTGGAAGTTCCCAAGCTGCAAAATTTAAGTGAGACAAAGGGCTTCTTCTCTTCACCTAATGCCACCTTTTCTATCTCCCACCTTAGGATTTGGAGTCCCTTTGTTGCATGAATGTATAGTCTGGAGGCCAGTGTAATAATACTCACTCTGAAATGATTCAAAAGTACCTGCTGTCAAACCTTTCTAAACGTAAGCAAAGCCCACATCTGGCAAATTCTGGTATGGGTTGCTATTAGGTCTATATTCCCAATATTAGTTTCATAAAACAGGTCACTCTATTTGAATAAAAGAGAGCAGGACAGTGTCTATTAAGTTTCTTGAGGGAAATTCATGTCACAGAGTTTGGAATTATATGAGAACAGATTTTTTTCCTTATTTGTGTTTCTTGGATCATTTTTTTTCTTCAGAAATTCATTGAGAGGACTTGTGAACACAGGGAGGGAGAAAAGCAACCCACCGAGCCTTGTTTTTCTTTTCCCCTGAGTTTACTTTGCCTGAGGAAGTGGAGGATTCATCCTCCCTACCTGAGAGCCTGAGTGATAGTCCAGCCTGTGGTACTAGGATGCCAGCACTCGGTGGCTCGGTGGGGCCTGATTTGCTGGGCTGCTTTTCTGTACATCACTGACAGATG